CCTAGGTCGGTTGGCTCCAAAGGGCAGGCCCTGGAGTGTCCCATCACTCATCTGAATGGACAAGCGCAGCTGGTCTATACCCCACCACACCCCACTAGAATTCATTTGCGTTCCTTGCAAGGGAGCTAATGTAGCCCTCCTGCAAACGATGAGCCTTGATAAATGCAGATTTTTGCGGCAAGAGTTACCTTCTTTTTTTTTTAAGGTTTGTGTATTTATTTATTTATTTAGAGAGAGCGAGCGCATGTGTACATGAGCAGGGGCGGGGCAGGGAGAGCGGATCCCAAGCACCCTCCACACTGTCAGTGCAGAGCCTGACGTGGGGCTTGAACTCAAACTGCAAGATCATGACCAGAACTGAAATCAAGAGGCCGACACTTGACCCACTGAGCCACCCCGATGCCCCACAAGAGTTCTCTCTCTGATTACCTCAGAGCTCACTCGGCTAATGAGGATATAGGTCCAGATCCCCCTTGGTTTTGTCAGCTTCTGGTTTCTTGGCGGTGGCCCGGACATGCCCAGAGGGCTGCGTGGTGAAAACGGGCATTGGTAGCATAAAGCTATCTCCAGTGTTGGAAGAACAACTCAAAACATGCACTCTGCCTGTTCCCAAGATCGCCCGTTACTATAATCTCAGTTATGAGAGTTACTTAGGGATGTCTATACTGGCTAACCATTGACTTCTGTGCAAAGGGCTGACCAAGGGAAGAGGTGAGGTCTAGTAGGAAGCTACTGAAGAGGCGGGAACCAGCCTGAGGGGGAGGATTTCCCCCATTTGTGTAAGAAACAATGGAGGTCCCAAGAACTGAGTTGACTTATTCGAGGCCACACAGGCAATGATGGAACCTAGCACAGATAGAACCAAAGCCCCTCTTATACAATGTGTTGCTGGGAAGTAAAGAAGTCAGCTACTTCCCTTCCTAACTTCCCTGGCCTTCCCAGCCCTCCTCGTAAGTGCTGAGTAGACAGGACTTTTGAAGGAGCCTTTGCCATGTGACTAACTGGGTCAGAGTATTAGCCCCACGTTTAGCAAGGACTTAAAATATCCCAACCCTAGGAGTTATGAAACTTGCTGACACCACAGTTCCGACTCCTCCCCAACAGCCAGGCAGGACGACACCCCAAGGCCTGCTGTGCAAGAGCCTTGGCCTGTTTTTGTCCTCAGCAGCTGCTCTGCGAAATGGGCGGGGGCCGAGGAAGGGGGAAGGCCAGGGGCCGCTGGGGCTGTGGGGGGGATTCTCTGGCGGCCCACATAAGCTCTCTGGAAGGGATTACTCAACAGACCGTAATATAGCGATTACTAGAAAGATTCTGGGGAACAACTTCACAAAAAAAATTCTTCATGCGTACTCTTAGCTCTCTGAAATGAACCGCCTTCCCTGAATGAAGGCATGTGAGCCTATGTAGTCAAGTGATTTCAGGCCTGGACTAGTTCAACGTTTTCTCCCCTGATAATGGATATTTACAGTGCCTACTCTGTCTTTTGGCACACTTTCCGGTCCCTCTTTCCTTTTATTTGGAAGAACGGAGCATAGAAGGGATCATTCACCATATTGGCAAGATCAAGAGTCCAAACTGCAAAGGGGGGCCCAGCAGGCTTTTAAATGACCAAGCCAGGCTTGTGGATCATGGTAAACTGTTGAGCACGTGCCCTACCTAAAGGGGGCAGCTGCACTCAGTTCCATCTGAACATGGTCCTTTAGAAATATGGACCAACCAGGGGTGCCTGGGTGGCTCTGTCGGTTAAGCGTCTGACTCCAGCTCAGGTCATGATCTCGTGATCTGTGAGTTCAAGCCCCGTGTCAGGCTCTGTGCTGACAGCTCAAGCCTGGAAGCTACTTTGGATTCTGTGTCTCCTTCTCTCTGCCCCTTCCCTGCTCATGCCTCTGTCTCTCTCTCTCTCTCAAAAGTAAATAAACGTAAAATAAGTTTAAAAAAAAATAAGGAAATGTGGACCAACCAGTGTTAGAGTTCCTGACTTTTCAGGAGTCCTAAAGCCAAGTTTAAGTGATTTTTCCCATTTTGAATATTGGAAACCAACTCAATTGTTTATTAATTTTTTTTTTCAACGTTTATTTATTTTTGGGAGAGAGACAGAGCATGAACGGGGGAGGGGCAGAGAGAGAGGGAGACACAGAATCGGAAACAGGCTCCAGGCTCTGAGCCATCAGCCCAGAGCCCGACGCGGGGCTCGAACTCACGGACCGCGAGATCATGACCTGGCTGAAGTCGGACGCTTAACCGACTGCGCCACCCAGGCGCCCCCCAACTCAATTGTTGAAACGTACTCTGAGGATCAAAGAAACAGATCAGCAGGTTGGAATCCCACCAGCAGGATGCCAATTTGTAATCTCTAGTCTGGACTGAGGGCCCCTTGGACAGTGAGGGAGCTGGTAGCAGAACTCAAGTGCCAGCCCTGTGCGTGCCTTCCCTGCAGCCTGCAGACACACACACGGTTTCCTCACCACTTCTCCTTCCCTATTCCTGTTGCCCTGGGCTCATTTCCTTCTCTTCCCATTTCCCGTGGGAAGGTCCAGAGCTCCCAGAGAGTTTTTAAACTAGGACGCCAGGAGATCATACAGAAAGTTGTTGCAAGCATCAAAAGATCAAAAGCCATCCACTGCTGTCCTAAATCTGACCAGAGGGCAGGGAGTTGAAGGAGGGTGGTGGAGAAAGGGATGCAGAATGTAGGACCCATCTAGGCTTGGAAATGGGCTCTACTAGTTGTAAGACCTTGGACAACTTTGTTTGTTCCCTCACCTGCAAAATGGGGATAGTGCCTGCCTCTCCAGGACCGTGGGGGAGAATTAACTGAGAGAAAATGTGCAAAGCCCGATCGTGTGTGCTGTGTGCTAAATGTTCCAGATCTAGAAGCCATTCCTGTGATCCGTGTTTCATTAAGAGTGACTGGCTGTGATTTCTCCCATGTTGTATTCCTTCCTACCTTAGCGCTCCTCCCCACCCCCTTCCTACACCCTCATTCCTTTTCCCCAGGAAGGGAACTGGGGTTTCCAAGGAGGGGAAGGGTGAGAAAGGAGGGTGTCACGCAGGAAAGGAGAACTGCAGTTGCCGATCTTGTTGCCATTTGGGCTGACAGGTACGGCCACAGGCACAAATGCAGGCGGTAAGTGCCCCTGTGGTCTCTGATGGGAAGAGGGAAAACCATTCGCTCTCTTTATTTCAGGTCCTATTGGTGAATCTTTGTGAAGGAACCTTCTTAATGTCAGTAAGTATCTGGGCTCTGACGCCCCTGCAGGCCCACCACCTGGTCTATCACACTTGTCTCTCCCGTGCTCCACCTCCTTCCACGTAGTTGAAGTGCATTTGCTGGGGGAGAACCCACGCTAAGACCATTCTATGAGGCGATCGGTGTTGATGCTTCTAAAGCAGGGATGTAAACCCAGTACCCCAGGGATGTAGAGAAGACTTGCTAAGGTTTACACTCAGACTCAAGACCCAGAGGCAGTGTCTGTTGTTTCTCTCTTACATGGCCAATTATTTGGGGGTAGAGTTGGGGTGTAGAATTCACACCCTCCTCACGCTATCTGCCGATACACCTCCTGTGAAGACACCGCCTCCCTGACAGCTTGACATCTGAGCTCTGTTCTGTCCCAGGTTGGTGATGAAAAAGATATCCTACCACCCAAGCTTCAGGATGACATCTTAGAGTCTCTTGGCCAGGGGATCAATGAGTTCGAGAGTAAGTCCTTGGTCCTCCTTATTTGGGTTTCTCCACAGAGCCTGAGGGCAGGATTCCCGACCACCCCTGCCCAGACTAAAATGGACTCACTCAGCAGTCCTGGGCCAGTCCCAGGTGCCTAGATTCTAGGGCCAGTCTGAGTGCAAGATGTCATTCTTCCTAAGCAGGGGTGGAGAACCCGTACCCAATCTCCTATTTTGATCGGTAATTATGAGGCCTACCCTGGCCGCTTCCCTGCGGTGAAAGCCACCTGGAGGCAAGAGTGGGTGGTTCTTCTGAGACGGCCTCTTGTATATCTCCAGCAGCTTCCGAACAGCTCAACGAGCATGTTTCGGGCCCATTTGTGCAGTTCTTTGTCAAGACTGTGGGCCACTATGCTTCCTACATCAAGCGGGAGGCAAACGGGCAAGGCCGCTTCCAAGAACGGGCCTTCTATAAGGCTCTGACCTCCAAGACCAACCGCCGATTTGTGAAGAAGTTTGTGAAGACACAGCTCTTCTCCCTTTTCATCCAGGAAGCTGAGAAGAGCAAGCACCCTCCTGCAGGTATGCAGTGACGGCCCCTATCATTCCAAGCCCAGAGAGGGTCACTGCCTCCAAGTCAGGTGTGGCCCGAGGATGAACGGCATGGTGTCTAGAGGCCCACAAAATAAGATGTAGTCTTGTCAGTGGGGTTGGAACAAAGTAACTTGAAGCCTCAGAAAATGCCTCTGGGCTGCCATTTGGTAGAACTTGCTCTTTGTTTTAATCTGGAGTTAATTTCTACTAACTATTCTATTTGTAGCCCCAGATTGGGGCCAAATTGAATACCTGGATCTCCAGAGGCCTGTGAGAACATGGGAGTCCTGGCGGGAATGTGGGTGTGGTGGCGGAGGAGACAGAGAGGGTATATCTGATCCCCGTCCCTGACCTCATCGTCGTCCACCTGGCCGGATTATATGCCTCTAACACCGGCTTCTGAACCCACAGGCTACTTCCAACAGAAGATACTTGAATACGAGGAACAGAAGAAACAGAAGAAATCAAGGGAAAAGACTGTGAAATAAGAGCTGTGGTCAAAAGCGGGGGACTGGACTCACGGGTCAGTTTTGGACTTTGGTCCCTGCCAGCACGGTGGGATTGGCAAAGCTCGCGGCCCCCAGAACCCACGGCCTTCTTCTGAGTCCTGGTAACCAGGTCTGGCGTCAAGCTGGTGTCTTGGGTTTGGGATCCCTGGAATCAGCTTTCCCAGGACCATGGAAGGCTTGGACCTCCGTGCTCACGGAGCTGGGCTCAAAGCTACATTTTCTGTGCAGGTGACACAGCACAGTAGCACAGGTGCTGTGGAGCCTTAGAAGTTGCTGTGAATGCCCTCTTCCAGGAACCACTATGATGAAGTCCTCAACAGGGAAAGTACTTGTGGCCCAAAGGCTCAGTCTCTCCACGTAAAAAAGAGGTCTGTGGACATAGGAAGATAAGAATAAAGATGAAAGTCTTGTTTATGTGTTATCTTTGGCCTCCAGAACTTTGGGGCTGTGTTTGGACTGGGGGTCAGCTGCTCTGTTTCTAACAGGAAGGGTGGGGATACCGGGAGAAGCGGCAACGGCACTGGGACAGGGCGGCAGTTCTTGGGTCTAGTCGGGTGTGCCTTCCAGAATCCGGGAGGAAAGGCTGCTAGCCACGGAAGTATCTGCATTCCAGGGAAACTTGAGGTAGGAAATTTCAGTTCCCAGAAGCCGGTGAAGAGCTCTACATTGCTTCCATAGGCAGGTCTGTCTGCCCATCACAACTGAAGGTTTGGAACCTTCAGTTGTAGACATCCAACTTCCTACTTGGTTATTTTGAGAAACCCAGTTCAACTCTTTTAAAAATTAAAAAAAAAAATTTTTTTTTAACATTTATCTTTGAGAGAGAGACAGAGTGTGAGCTGGGGAGGGGAAGAGAGAGGAGACACAAAATCTGAAGCAGCTTCCAGGCTCTGAGCACAGAGCCTGACGTGGGGCTCGAACTCACGAACTGTGAAATCGTGAGCTGAGCTGAAGTCGGATGCTTGAACTGAGCCACCCGGGCATCCCTACACTTTTTTTCTGAGTTTGTTTATTTTTTGAGAGAGACAGCAGGGGAGGGACAGAGAGAATCCCCAGCAGGTTCCATACTGTCAGTGCAGAGCATGATGCAGGGCTCAAACCCATGAACCATGAGATCATGAGCTGAGACGAAATCAAGAGTTGGACGCGTCACTGACTGAGCCCCCCAGGTGCCCCCTTAGACACCAATTTCAACTCTGTAGCTAACGGTGGAGGGATTGCTGCATTGCCGTTTCCCCCTTTCAGAAAAGAGTATTATAATCTTAAGGGTCCAAAGGAGTTGAGTGGTCACCTGGTCCACCTTCCCTCTGTACTTCCAATGACAGCTTCTGTTTCAACACTGAAAGGGATGGGAAACTTTTAGAAGCCTCTTACCTTTCAAAACTCTCATCTTTTGAATGTGTGTGTGTGTGAGCGTGGCCCTCGGAGGCCCCTGAATTCTATACGAAGAACACAAATGTTTTTGGGGGGTGCAGCACAGACACACGCTGCGGGCGGCAGATGTTCCACTGTCCACCCACCGCCTGTAGCGATGCTGCTACTCTTCACGGGTTCTAAGGGTCAGCGCCGTTCCTAAACCTCGCTGTACCTCAGAAGGTTTTAGAACATGGACTGGAGTCCTGGGAAGCTTTTGAAAATACTTTCTGAGGCCTCACCCCAAACTGACTAAAGCATCTCTAGAGATAGGACCTGGGGACCTGTAATTTCTAAAGCTCCTTCAGGTGATTCCGACACCCAACTAGGTATAGGATCAAAGAGGAGGCGGGCCAGCTGAGGTTGACTATAAATGTACCCTTGATCTGATGACGATGTACCTGGAGCTAAGAAAGCACACACGGAGTATCTGAGCATTTTTCAGATTCCCTTTATGGCTGAAAAAGATTTGAGCATCTGGGTTTATAGCTTTAGCCCACAAAAACCTACTATGGTGTGAGGACAGAACACTGGACCAGGATTCAGAAGATACGGAGTCTAGTCCCTATTTGGAAAAGGAACGACTGTGTGACACTGATACACCACTTAGCCTCTCGGCAGACCTCAATTTCCACTGCAGGTAATTACCATCTGCTGTGTCTATTGTACTACTCAAGGAGGGCAGTAGGTGCAACTGTTCCAAATAAGTAGAATTATCCTTCTTCATCCTAACCTTCAAAACTACCCCAGATGCTGGAGGAGTTGCTAGCCAGCAAAAACAATGAGAGATTTCTCTCTACTGCTACAGTCTAGCAAGGAACTTGAAGGTTTCACTGTTGCTCCTACTCAAGATTACATGGGATTAACGGAAGCATTAGAAGTGCAAGAGAGCAGAGTTCCGACTCCCAGCTGAGGCAGAACGGCTATTGTTTACCCATGATTACAAAAACAGGGTATAAATACAAATCAACAGAAATCTATACAAATCAATAAAAAGATACCACTAGTTTCTTTTCTGCTGTCCCCCTCCATTCAAGCATCTGGACTATACATACTGCGGAAACAGATCCGGCTTATAGTCACTGAAGACAGCTGGTTCTCATTTCAAACTGTAGCATACCGAGGAGGCAGAACAGGAGCACAACTTTTCGGTAACTGCCTAGGGAGGCCGAAGCCTCTCTCATTGAAAATTCTGGGGAAGGGTTTGAGATTCCTAAAAGATTTATAATCTGAAGGATGACAAATGCAACGAAAAAAACCTATCAAGAAGGAAAACGAACACAGTTCCATATTTTAAGTTAAACAGAATAGATCGCAGGACACATAACGACAAAGCAGATGACCGAATTTCCTCATTTATTAAAGAACAGAAATAAATTTTGCTTAAAAAAAAAATGACATTAAAACTTAGTCTATCTTTCCACTGAATAAAATTGAGAAAAAGGCTGGCTTTCAGGTCATATATTTATTTAAAAAAATAAAATGGATCAACAAAGTTACCACATTATTCTGCATGCTAACAGGAAATCCCAAGCCCATGAGAGATACCATTTCTTGAGCAATAAAAAAAATTACCTCCTCAACAATGTAAAGATAGGAAACCTTTCAATTCAAATTCAAGGTCTTTATCACTAACTCCATTGCACAAGCTAGTAGGATATATCTGTGCCACAAGCTGAGCTCCTTAGTAAAGAAAGCTTGAGAAGAGACTAAACAAGGATGTCACTAAAAGATGATGATTTGTTAAAATTATAAAGCAACCATGTTTGGGCCTGCAAATATTCTACATGAGAAATCTCCACCACTGGGAATCTGCTCCCCAGGACAATTTTATTCTGAATCCAAGATAATTACAAACACATGGCAATTTTTCCTGCATGCTTCCTTGGGCCAAACCCTGTATGACAACATGTACAATTACAGGATGGGATTGAAATTCCCATTCTCACACAGGATAGTTAAGGAGTGTTACCAGTAACAAAGAAAAGTTATACAACATTGATTATTATAAATTATATTTGTTCTTATCCACCCCATTCTCCTTAATATGTTCTGATTCTTTCCTGCAGAAAACGTGAGTTTCCTATATGACACCAAGTATGTCATTAGTGATGATTAGAATGAGCTGTCGAGACCTTGATTCTGAAGACATGTATGTGCAGGTGAGACGCAATCTGATTGCAAACACTGACACAGTAGCGGATCAAATCAAAGAAGGAGAAGACCTGGAAAGAAAAGAGAGTGTCAGATTCTCAGGACCTGCTTAGGTGATTCCTAAGCTTCCTACATAAGGAGTGGCTTCCTTCTTCCCTTCTTTCCAGACATGTCTTCAATTCCATACAATCTAATACTTCAATTTCCTCATGGATTTTTCCTTTACGCTAAGGATCAACAAACTCTTTCTCAGAGACACAGTAAATATTTTAGGCTTTGTGGACCATACCGTCTTTATCTTAGCTGCTCAACTTTTGCCATTATAGCATGAAAGCAGACACAGACAATACCTTCATGAACGGCCACGGCTGTGTTCCAATAGAACTTTATAAAAACAGGCCTTTGGCCCACAGGATGTAATTTATTAGTTCCTGCTTTACAGTCAGAAATCTGGAATTTTTGAGCCCAGATGTAGGACTAATAAGAATAATGCAAAAAATGGCTCAAAGATGAAGCCACGAAGAACTCTTTACAAAGTCCCATAAATATGGTTTTCTGACATTCCAAATCATTACAATTATAGTATCTATCTTCCAGGACTGACCCACAGGAACAAGAAAACAAGTGGCTTCCAAATCATGAAACAGGACACAGAACGATACTTACCAGGGCAATCCAAAGTACAATATATTCATCGATAAAGCTGTTAAAATATTGGTCCAGAAACAAAAGTGCTGGGCCTATGAATGCTGTGTCATGCAAATGCATTTCACTCTTAGTCATGTGTGCCACCTGAAAACAAAAGAGAACCCGTGATGCAGGCACTCTCATACTAGAGCAACCGTGAGTCACAGTAAATCAGTTTTGCGCTCAAGTTTCAAGTTGTGTTCACAAGTTTCGAGAATTATTTGGCGATACTGAATAAAAAGCTCAACTTCCAAAAACAAAAACCCAGAAAACTGACAAGAATTATGTGTGAGAGCTATACACCACAGGGACAGACCATGTCAACCAAGCACCCCCCCCCCCCACCCCAGAAGATGCTTTTCATAAACACCCTTAATTCGAGTGTACGGATGGAGACTGAAGAAGGCAGATAAACTAAAGCACCAAATGAAACTGTAGCAGAAAGAAGGGCTGTGGAGGTCCAAGAAGCTTCTGGTAACCTCCAGTTGTAGCTTCACAGAAGAGTGAGAACAGTTCCCATGTTGATGTCCAGGGATCTTGACTGGAGGAGAGCAAACTCTAGAGCTGCTCAGGAAGCTGTGGGATGAAAGCTATGGCCATAAACCCAAAATAAGAGGAATTTTAAACACAAAACAAAGAAAAACTTTAGTGCTTACCACAAGCTTATTAGTGATTTTAGCAGATACAAAACCAAACGTCAGTATATAAAGACAGGGATGCTTTTCAAAAAGCTGAACTGCCGATTTCTTATAGATCATTGCAGCTAATGTAATCACTGATCCAATATGGAGAAAAGGAGAAAGGACACTTGTTCCCTGTGCAGAATAAAGAGAAGAGAGGTACGAACTGTCAGATACAACATGGATCTGTTGTAAGGCGGATCAACTCACACTTTTAAGAACCTCACGGTGCCTGACAGCCAGCAGTTTCTGTAACCAAATACTGAACAGCTAGTGAAGAAAGCAGCAGTATGGGTTGGTCAGGCACAATCTGAGGATTTTACTTATGCTGTCAGGCTTATTTTACAAAGCAGATCATACTTTTAAAAATACATTTGTGTATAAAGGCATGCATGTGTG